TACACTCATCCCACGCGCTATTGGTAGTGGCTGCACAGCAGCGAAGCGCCGTTACCGTGTATAGCTGACACCTTTTTTCTTTCTTTATTAAACAAACACAAATAAAGCCATGGATTGCAATGTTGGGCTAAGTTACCATCTATGTTTTACTTCTCATGGCTTCAACTCGCCCTTTGCTGCCCTGTTTTATTACTCTCCTGGCCTTATGCATTAGTAGATCTGTTAATAGTGGGCTCCTAGAAAAGACTCTTGGAATATTGGGCCCCGATACACTATGCAGAAAATTAGGTTCACGAATAGTAGTCCCAAGTTATTCTTCTTTTCGTACACCAAGCATCAACGCTGGCACAGTCATCCGGTGTAGTTGCGACGCAAACACAACACTGAGAAGGTCTTAGATGGTATTCTCCAAGAGTGTAGACCAAACATGTCCCATTTGGGTCAATAGTTTACGCTGGTAATGCTTGGGATGGAGCCCCCCGTTTGTTTCGGAGGCAGATTGCACCCACTTGCTCTGGGTGGGCAATGAGCTATGTAACTCCACAGCGCTGCATGCCAAGAAGCTCAAAAGAAAACAAAGCGTCAATAGTCACTTACGCGTTCTAATGCAGCCTCTGTCTAGCGACATTTCCTTCTCATTCCGGGATATCCACGCAAAGCCACTGTAGAGAGTTTAAACGAACACTGGCCACACCTGTTTTGTTTACATGCTTCTTGAGGATATTTCGGCTTGAGAAAACAACGGTGTTGCAAGTCACAACAAAGCACATAAGAGGACGGTTCGTTAACTCACACTTCTCTTATTCATATTACATTAATAAGTGGGCGGCAACCAGTCACCTGCCTTTCCTGACAGACTCATAACTCAAGATAGCTAACCCAAAATAAATGCACCAAGATAAAGCAGTGTCTTGGAAAGATGTTGTTAGAGAAGCAATAGAAATACAAGTAAGCTTATGTAATCCTACATGACTGCAGACCTTCGTTTTGCTTTGGTGGTTCACTGACATTTGTTTTGACGTATCATTTCGCTATCCCTATTCTCTGTTTAGGATAGCTGCTTTTGCTCTCTGATTAAAGCCCTACTCTGAGGTTAACACTCACTTTCCGTTCATCGTGCATACCTGATTGGTTCATTGTTTGTTCATTTGTTATTGGCTTTTGCTGTTCACACCTTTAACACCCTTTGGTAGTCTTTCATGTTTGTGCATCATACAATATAACGAAGTCGTTTCCATATGTACAAAATACCTGAATCCTTGTTCTTGATTGGTCATGTTCTCACTATCGCGCTAGTACGTGGAAGCATTCGAGGAGCCCGACACAACAGCTAATACTACTGCTTCAGCGTAGACAGCTTGCTAAATTTCCAGCGTTCCCACTATTATCTAGGCTTCGATTCAGTCAAGCATAATCCAAACATCTCGATGGTATGTTATCTATTGGTTTCTTCGGAGGCGCTATATTCAAACTAAAATGCCATGTACATAGTAAACGATGGACCACCTTCCAGTTACACATTGACGCTGCATTGAATAGGTGCGAATCTGTCTTGTAAATGGCATGTAATGCGAATGCTTGAGGAGGCGTCGACTAGCAAGACAAAGTTGTACACTGGCCTCTCATCGGCTAACAACTGATCAAGGACCACTTGCAACTTGCGCGATCTTCCCCCTTGCCTTTGAATGCCATGTGATACATGCTGGTCAGCATAGTGCCCTACGCCAGTCACACTCATTTAACTTGTCATTCTAGTAGATCTTTTAAATGTCCCAGTATCCATGGGATCCGGTCCACGGGAGTATATTCATCGGCTGAGTATACTGCTACCGCCAATTGCTTGTGCAGACGCATGTATAGGGGAGATCGACAAGCACGTTTCGCATCGTGACTTCAGTTCTGTTATATATGTAAAGCTTAGTTATTCGTAAGGTTTATTATCAAATTATATTTCTGCTCTGATGGTGCTCTGTTCAAGAGGTCACAAGCTGCCTGGGGTTCGTTATTAATCATACCCAGCCCTTGATAGGCCTCGCATGGATTTCAGTCCTACCGAAAGTGAGTAACCCTAAACAACCATCAAAAAATGCTTAGGGCCTAGTTCTCCCCCTATGTACGTCAACTATGAGAACATGTTCTAGTTCGGGTGGACGGAACCTTAGCAAGTTGGCCACGATTGCACAGGACAAACGGATGCAATGATTTCGACGCGACCTACGGAAACAGGGCCAGTAAAAGTAAGTAGGTGATACAAGACACTTTGCTGTGAACCAGCTCATGCAAAGTTGAGATAGCGCGGAAGCTTTATGTAATGATCAACTTATGTTGCACTTCATTAAAAGCTGCTTTTGATCGCTAGCGAGACATTTTGAATCTCTGAGGTCCAGATGACATTTGGCTTTCTCAACTTTCGCTGCGGTCAGATTCATTCAGATGGCAAAGACACATCTGAAAAGTGTTAGGCTGCAATCTCCTCCAGTTGGGAGTGGTGTCGGCAGTACGTGTCCGCCGAATGCTGCTGAGAAGTCTTAGCTCAAAACGTACATTACATTAAACGATTAACCGTGACACATGATAGCTATGAATCAGTCGTGCTGCTCTGCTGGTGTCACCCGTGGCTCTTTGGCTTCAGTTCCTAACCCTTAAGCTTAAAGCCATGTTTCCAGAAGCCCCGGAATTCGATGGAGACGCACTGCTGTTGAGTCTTGGTAGGGCAAAACCGCAGTCTAGCTATTCTCCAGATGTCTAGAGGAGAGCTGACTGATTCTAGCTGAAATGAACCTACTCAGCGACACAACGCATCCCTTCGCCATTCTTTGTGCTTCTATAAGCCTTCCACCAGTCTGTAGCCAACACGAACAGATTACACACCATTCAGACTCGCAGCTCTTGCTATCTCTTCAACGGATGGGAGTCTTAACTCGTATAGCTGAGGTGCACTAGCAATTCAATTCGCAAAAAGGTGTGGATTACAAGAGCGTCGAATGCCGGCGCTCTGTTTTGACCCTCTGTGTTGAAATGGGCTGGGTCAGTTGCGAACAGCAATGAAACACATTCAGTGGAACACTAAATGATCGTTTCATTCTATTGGGACTCGTCGGTTGTACGCATGAGCCGGGTCTTTCGACAAACCTTATACAAAATCCCTCCCTACTAATCTCTACTGATGGGACACATTCGGAGAAGTGACTTCTAGGTTTCGCACAATGATCCAGGGCTCTATCAACTCCGGCTCACAAATGAAGTGGTCCAGCAATTCATGATCAGAAGTGGATTTAAATAGTGTACATCGTACCAATCGCGACCAAGTTTATTTTGACAACGGCGCCTTGCGACACGCTATATCATGGCCAGTTGCTTAATCAGGCAGTTGTTAGAAGCCGCCGTGACACAACAGCTAGACCTTCTGACTTCAACGCGTTGGATCACGGTTTAATCTCATTGGGTGACCGAAGAACTGAGTGTGGCTGATCAGTTCAGATGCTTTGTTGGATTTTGGTCACTGTCTGCTTAAGTCTAGTCGTATGGATTTCATACATCAAGCATGATGGTGTGCATTTCTCAAAGACATTACCAGCTGATCCATACTCAAAGATGGTCACTAGCGGCAACCCAAAACGCAGTGTGCTTAAGCCAGATAACCGATTACTTGGAGAACAACCTGCCTCCGTTTAGGCACTGAAGTGGTTCAAGCTCAGCTTCTGGTCCGATGCTGTCGTCGTACAGGCTTTAGTCATCCAAACTGCCACAAAACCACCAGCTTCAATTCTGGCATTTATGTTCCATGAACCCCATGGGCATATCGCATGGGTTGCGCCAGGTCAAGTCCGGTATTTCAATTCCGTAAGTATTCAAACTAATTCATGTTCTTGTCTCTAAACTATGTGCTTGCAATAATAGGGAGCAGCTCCATTTCGATTCAGATCTTTTCAAAGTTTCCGGAGTCTGTCCGCAATGATTCGCGTCTTGATTCTGACTTGAAGAAAGAAAGAAAACAACACACAAATTTGAAACCGGTCTGTGGGAGCTACTAAGAATTAGGCAACAGTAACAAGGATGGGCTGTTAGATATGAACAGTAATTCCTAAGTACTAGTAACACCCTTGGGAGAATTAATTCTAGAGTCAATGTGGCAGTTGTCTGGCATTCTCATGTTTGCTTACATCACAGCCTGGTGACTACAGGTATTGGCGTAGGTACCTACATACACACAGTCAAATCCATATTGATAAGTTAAAAGGAGTGATCCAGCTGTTTGTTTCCGTGTGGACAATGTAAATAATTAAGAATTAGTGGGTTCTAACCCCACAGGAGTCAGATGGAATGCGCACTGCTGTTGGTGCTGAAAAGGATGAAACGGCCGTACCGTGCTTTCCCGGGCGTGTGATAGCTGCCTGACCGAGTTTAAATACGATGAACTACTTACTTAATGGTAAACATTTCCGTTTCCGGAAACACTTTGTTTTGTTAGCAAACACCCAAGTCAAAGGTCCCATTTATCCGGTTCGCGGTTTCTGGCCCGCCAAGTTGGATTTTGATCAGCGTGACGATGTCGGTAGATCAATACAACTTCACTAATAATCATCAGAATGGATGCAAGGTATTCGGAAATTTACAGGTCGCAACCTGGGTACAGAACTTTGGCCCCCATGATAGTAGTTATCGCTTTTGCGGTACTGTCCAGTGGTTAGAAGTTTCATATGTGCACATTGAGTATCATGTTGTATAGTCATCTCTAACCACGCTTCGCATTTAATTTGACTCAGAAATTTTATCAGTCTATGTGTTCAGTTCGTAGCATACTGCAGATGTCATGTCACATTACGGACTCTATTTGACTGCAACCAACGAGATACTTACTTAGTCTGGAATCCACGAATTGATACGAAGCTTTTAGGCGAAATGAAACGGTGGTTGCACAGGTCTCATACACTTACCTAGAAATGTATTGCATCCACCTACTGAAACAGAGATTACTTCACTTTTAAATCTGTGCATAGTGGGTTCGCTTTCCGTTGGACGTGCAGAAGCTTTTGAACATTTCAAAAAAGAATATCGTTTTCGGGAGCGTATTGATGAACAAAAGGAAGAACTACGAACGTTGTATGCTGATGCAAAGTTGTGGGGCAAGAGGATGCTACAAGCTCGAGAGGAAGCGAGTAAGTATGCTTTGGTTCTGCAGTAGATCTCGACCAATCAGTATGTTACACTCTCTGTTAATGATCCATTAGCTACGGCCTACTTATCCTTGTGTCAAGCGCAGATGTTGTTCTCATTATCAAGTCACTGGAATGCGAAACATCGCAGTGATCATTAAAATCAAGTCAGTAACTAAAGCACCAACACCTTCCAACCTGTTCTATTTTCAAGATCGTCTGGCGTCAAGGTTGAATACTCTCATCCAACATGGTCGGGAAGTGGAAAGCATGGATGTGACCCCAGATGACAAGGAATCGGAAGAAGTACGTCGAGCTCTGGAGTCAAAGCGAAGCGAATATAGCGCAGCTTACCTCACCTTGAAGGAGCTAAGGCCGAGAATAGAACATCTACAACACGTGTTGGAGAATGCCAAAGTAAAACTAGTGAAGGCTTTCGATGAGTGGTGGGAACGTCGATGTAGGGATCACACAAAGTCTCAAGCTCCCAGCACCACCAACACAAGCTCGATCACGTCGCCCGTCAGAGATGCAGTAAGTATGCTGGATCAAACGATTTTCTTCCTTCGCGAGTTGTATTCATTTCTGGGAATGGTGTCTGGTCGCTTCGCCCAAACCCCATTCCCGACTAATAAAGTATCTGACCGATGGGAAAAGCATAGAGTCAGATTAGATTGTTAATTAGTGACATTCATCTGAAGTTGCAATATCCTATGACAGTTTGTTTAATCACCAATCGCAACTACTTCTTGCCACTTTCATTTTTGATGTAGGCAGTGAACAGCGTCGACTTTGACAAGACAGAATAACTTCATGTACATCCAGCAACAGGTCAAAGTGCTAATAACTGGGGTCAGGTACTGAGCTTTTGCATTTTCCTACGAGCATGACAGTATGCTTGCATACGTTTCCTACCAGCGAAATTCGATCCGAAAACAAATCCTTGTAGCACCAATTATCAGGGTTAAATTGGTCGTGTATCAAAGTCACATGTGGATACTAAGAAGTTCGCATTTTTTCAAATACAGTGCACTGAATTAGAAAGCACTACGAATATGCTGTGTCAAATCATATAAGAGAGTACCGATAGTCAAACTAGCATGCAACCCATCCTGGGGTGATGGAATACTTAATACACAATGGAGGGCAGGTACTTCATCCAACTAACTTTGAAAAGTACCAAGGGAGTTTGGTGTCTTTAAGATGGTTCCTCACAGCCAGACTTGGACAGACAGGCACCACACAGCGAAAGTCATTAGGCAGTGATCGTGTCCTATACAGGCTCATCAGCAGAGTGTGTCTGCTCGATCCTGCTGCATGCGAACCCATAGCCTTTATCTTACAGACTAAGGAATTAAGCTATTGGGCAATGTGTGCTAGCGTCTGATTTCCGTGAATGACTACTGTTTGCTATTTAATGCTGCATTTTATGGGTCCAGCCAAATTTCTGGCTAGGTATCAGAGTTACCTTTGCGATTATTTACCACCTGTTTCAGTTTTAAACTGTCATATAATCACTGTCAACTAGTTGTATATTAGAAGTGGCTCAATGTGATTTACAGCTTTGACAGAATACTACAGCGTGCCTGTGCCATGAAAGAACCGATTTTGCACTTAATGTCGGGAAGATCGTGCGCCCTTTCTTCTCCAGCGCCCAACTACAGGTGATCACTTTGGATGAATGGGTACCTTGTTAACCTTCGCATTGAACTCCTCTGAATCGAGCATAGCATTCAACGCTAAACTTTACGAACACGCCAGCAGTGCATAAACCAACTGAAGTGGTGCGACAAAACGTTGTCTGGCTTCACCCCCATACAGGCCCTAAGTACTTGGCAAGTGCATCGTGTAGTCCGCCGATGCATTTATTGGCATGAGCTGCCTGTTTGTTACCAACAATAAATGACGAACATTGAACGCCAGAATGCAATTGTTGACCACTATAGGAAACTTGACCGCAGTGGATATCTCCAATAAACGTGACGTTGAACAACGGCTGATTGCTAAATTTCGTTTCCTAAACGTGAGACAGAGAGGTAACATAGATTACCAATAGCGATTTCATTATACATTTGGTTAGCTTTACTCTGGGTGAAAAGGAACGATGAATGTAGCTTGGTGAGATCCCCCAACCATGTGCCTGCTTTTTGTAACAACCTAATTCTGCACGTTGCACCCTCAACGGCTCCTACGCAAAGGGGCCTCATTTTTAAGCGTCACTCAAATGCGCTTTAAACACTGAGTAACCCTTTCGTTGTTTCCATGCAATCTTTGTTCTATTTGCTTGTGATAATTCATGCACTAACTTTGGGGTTTACCGGATGCACGCTTGTGGCTTACTCTTCTCCTTCTTAATGTGTTAGATTGCGACCTCTTTTGTCATAGCGATCGTTGTCGCATTACTGTCGAAGTATTCCATTCACGCATTTTCACAAATTGGGCTTACTTCTATTCCCACTAAGACAGTGGTTCTTAACCTGGGGGTAATTACCCTAACGGGGTAAAGTGGAATTCTATGGGAGGTAAATATAAGTATCAATACTAGGTCATCAACTAATCACCAAACAAAATTAATAACAATGGCATCTGTAGCAAAACACGTAACTAATTATTCACCGCTGACTAGCCATCCGTGACCAATCATTAGTTAGTAGTCTGCGAATTAGACAATTTTCAATGGTCGAAGTTTATGGGTGTCTGTACAGCTGGAGCCCCAGGCGGATTACAGACACTAGTCAAACAAGTTGATTCTCACGCTGCCTATAGCCATTGCATTATACATCGTTACACTTTAGCAGCGACAATCCTTCCACCTGCTTTGCAGGAGGCAGTTAACTTGATGGTGAAAATTGTCCCTCATTCGCGGTACTACAAGGATTGCAGGGATTTTCAAAACGTTTTGCAAGGTATTTGTAAGTAAATTCAACGTGCTGTTATTCCACGTAGACGTTCGCTGCTTTTTACAGAGCAAGGGGCTACCCTGAGTGCTCAAGCTTCAATAAATAAATGTTTGTATAAATAAAAAATTTGCGCAAAATAGGCTTTTCTTTGTTTGAATGATCGAAGTAATAAAAAATAGTAGCCATGTTTCATTATGTAAAGAAAGAGGTGCGTTATTTAATAAGTGATTCGCTTATTAAACCAAAACTTTTAAGGGTACTTGTTAATAGTAAACACTCTTTGTGGGTAACAATCTCAAAAATGTTGTGAACCGGTGTACTAGGATCAGTACGCTTCACAGAAGCATTAATCCTACATCATGATAAGACATAACACACATGGACGCAATATCAAAATTATCCAGTGGATCTCCAGCGAAAACCTGTACCACAATTGGTTAATTTCTTCTACTGTTTGAGACTTTGGTACTTTGGCATAATCCTGCGCAGACCTTGTTGTGAGTGGTCTCTTGATAAAAAGTTACCCCGTCTTTCTCACTGGCTAACTGAGCAACCACCTGAAAATTTCTTAATGAGATTTAAGCCAGAGTGGTTTGTAATATCGCCATTTGTTCACCATTAACGCCGATGACACTGGCCAGTCCTGTAAAAGTACGTAGCCGATGCATGTAGCGCAATACCACTCCGAACTTTCGCACCCAGCCGCTACCATCGACCTTGAAAGTGCTTTTGGCAGTTCTAACAATTGGGATTAATGTACCAAGTTCGTAACCCAAACCTTGTCCTGAAGAATGTATCTTCGTATTTTCATGCTGGTAAGTCAAAGTCTTGGTACAGTTAGATGTTTGTACTGTAGCTACAGAATCCGTAAGGTAGACACACGCTGCCATTGGACTACAGCGACCCTTAGGTGTTGGCACTGAACGACATCCGTTGTGAGTGGTATCCCAAAAATAACCGGGCTTGATTACCGAAGTAGTTAATGCGATACAGCAGCACCTTCCTGAGCATTCCAATCAGAAGTTTAGTGAAATTACCATGTTTTTCTGGCTTTTGCAAATGTTTTACGCTTCATACACCAATCACATCTGTAATACTACGAGCATTAGTGAAATAGCTTCATAAAGAAAAACTTTGTAGTCGCTTTGCTGTTAATTTTATGGGTTTGATAACCCTCGTTATTCGCCAGGTCAAAATACATAGGATAAAGTGTTCCACTTGATACACGTGAGGACTTGTATAGATTAAATGAAAAACCAATATAGTGGTGAACAGATTTGGCATAGGCTTTTAAAGGACCTGCCGTTTTACTATTTCTATCAGATTGCTCGAGAGGATGAACAGCAAACTCACTCGACTCAACAAGGTAAGTATAGAGAAGACATTGATTATTTGGTATCATATTGTCTTTAACTAATTCCACCACCAAATAAAGCTATATTTAGGACGCAAAACATTTAAGTTTCGACAAACAAGTAATGTGTCTCATGGTTATTCTGTCCAGAAGTGGGACCAAGACAGAATGTGAGATTTCCATAGTTTACCTTGTTTAAAAGGGATGCATCTTAATACATCACATTCTCTACTGTGATTGTTATGAACACAACATTCTGTACGCTAATGTCTGACGTCGTTGTTCGAAACTGGGCCAAATAGCATTGAAGTACCCAAATCGAACTGAACAAGTTCCATGAAATTGGACCAGCGGTTGCGACAGACCGTTGCGTGACACATCATCAGCTTGTTGTCTAGATGTTGAAAGAAGTATAAATTACTGTTGAAAAGATTGTGAGACAAGCCATGCATGTGACAGTGCGATAACACTACAACTCTGCGTTTTCAACGGGTTCCGGTCACTCACGCAAACTGTGTATCAGCTGTTTGGATAAGAAGCAAACGAGCCAGTGTCTAACCAGCATCCCCACACAGGTTCTGTGACAAAGGAGATCTGCACGCGTAAACAACAGAGCAGCCTGCCTGCTCTTGACAGTATCGACCGCGTTTCCCATCTAGCTGGCAAAGCCCGTTGCGCCGCAGTGGGATTACCCGTGCACACCACAGCTTGATGTCATGGAGAAAACATGACGTCAAATGGTACCTCGCCAAGCAAACCTGGAAATGACCTCTCGTATGCTAAAGTACACATATTTGACTGTTGTACGAATAATCTCGAATTACTAAAACGTTCACAACTAAGCATCAAAAATTACATTTTTATGAATTGCCTATTTTCACAACGCGAAGGCTTGGGAGCTTTTGCAGTCGCATCACTACGGGTATTGTGCGTAGAACTAATTTTCGACAGTTCTGAATAAAAGGCACTATAATCCTACCATCACATTTCAACGTCCTATCATATTTAACGGGCTACCATATATCACACTGCTTATTATATTTAACATCGACTTATACACTAAAATATGTTACCATGATTAGACGTTAGAATGTGGTTTTGATGTGCCCTCATGTGCCTCCAATCTTGGTGCTATGGATCACTTTTTGTAGCTAACTAGCAATTACACACTAAGAATTTACTTGATCCGTTAACATTGCCTATAGTAGCAATATCTACCCGTTTTTTCTACACCCATACAAAATGGGAACGTACGCTTTCCAGAAACATCACATTAACCAAGCGAGGTGAAATTGTCAAACAAAGCTAGTCGATTCGACAAAAGCTTACAGACACTCACTTTCTATTCAGTACAACGCAAATTTTAGCTAAGCGGAACCTGTGGGCAGAATACTGAAACTGACACGTCAGTTCCCAATGAAGATTTGAACATATTTCTGCTATGCTTATTTACTCTATTCCCATAGTCCAATTTGTTTCACTCTGCGCATATTGACAAATGGAATCACTTTTAGCTTCCGTGGCTTTGTCAACTAGTACGCCAGCATCATTTGGTAGCTCACATGTTACCATTGTACCGACTGCTAGTAGCGACTTCGAGTCAATAATTTGTTACGTAACTACTTACGACTAAAAGCTAGATGCCTCTTCGTATCTCCACATATCACTTGTACGTTCTTGTTTACATGGATTGAGCCAACACTAGGTAAGAGCAAAATAAATCAGCCTACTGGTGTCTGGTCGAGGAAACGGTGTCAGTTCATTTGCCGCGGTCCATAAGGACAGGCTTGTATGACCTGGTGAGACATACAAATTTCCAGTTAAGCCTGTTCAAACCGAGTCCAGGGTAGTGTTTATGAGCTTAGTGAGCAAGCATTATCACCACCTCTTCCCCCGACTATAAGCCTAATGATGCATAATGCCCCACCGGCGAAAATCAGCCAACTTCAAACACCACTAACGAACACACTAAACCACCATTCAGTACGAGGCGAAGTTAATAGCTCTGCACGCCTATATAAGGAGCGTAATAGCGGCTGATGGTATCCATCATTGGGTTTGCCTTCTGCCAACTTTTGCTACCTGACTGCCATCGATCGTGCACTGAGGATGCCACCTCGAACATCACAGCAACTGAACATTAGCAAACGTTTGGATGTGTTGCATCAAATTGCTTAAGCACGGTGGGTACCGTAACCAAAAAATGTGCACATTTCCTTTCGTGTACCGCGGATAAATTTGGTTCAACGAAAACTGATTTGAATGGATTCTCGTAAGCATATATTTTGCACGTCAGAATACCTGACGACTGACATAACATTATCCGGCTCACTTGATGGCATGTGCTGTTGTACGGTGTTGTGGCCCTGAAAACAAAACTAGAGCTAAGTAAACAGACATATAACTACTGTGAACAAGCAACAGCTGTTGCAACACATCGAGCCACGTGGGTGCAGACGAGATAGCCAACCATAAGCAAGCACGTGTTCGTCTAATGTTGCTAAGCCTTCATTGAGTCATAAGGCAACTCTAGATACCAATGCAGTAGGTAATGTGGTGACACTATACAGCGGTTTTGACAGATTCCTCTGCAGTTTTGGCAAATGCTTTGCTTGCTTTCCATTGAAACTAAGATCGAAATTGTAGGAAATATCCCCTTATCGCATAAACTGTGCTTAATTTCTGTATGTTAAACTATTTAGAGGAAGAAGTGGAAGGCAAACCAATCAGTGGAGAAGAGACTACCTTCATGTATAGCAATACAAATCCTGGTGTTGGTCAGCCATCGCGATTCACCTATGGAGAACGCATCCCTCTCACAGGAGATCCGATTGTTGATGCGGATATCATCACTTTTGTAAGAGCAAGAGAGAAAATTCGACGACAGCAAATGGAACTGTGGGAAAAGTCTAAACAAACAGTTCAACATTAAATGAACTTCCTTGCCGGTTTTGTATTTAACTTTTGTAACGTTTGTTGTTATTTGCATCGGTCACGTACCAGTTTTTATTTGTGAATATTTTCCTAGTAAATGTTAACTACTGGTGTAAAGAGAAATTGGAAACTTCAGAGTTTGTGTTTTTATTTCTGCGTGCATTACGTGCACTTGATATTAAGGATGTATCCACTTGAGACTACACCATTTTTATTATGTACTGGTCTATGGGCTGATCTGATTTCTTGCTGCCGTACGGCTTTTACTTACACCTATGTCATTGGATTCATTTGAAACAATAGACTAAACTCATTTGAAACTGATCTAATAACCGCAACGTCCAATTCCAGAGTTGTTTGAAACGATGACACCTTACGTTTACAGGAGCATGTGTTCTACAGAAGAACCATGATCGGGCTGCGTTGCACTCTCCAGTATAGAGCCACACACACACACACACACACACACACCACATAACATGTGCAAGGGCCGTCAATAGACACATCAAATTGAGGAACGGGCGGGCCCATCGGTATTCAGGCCATAACAAAACCCAGATATATTTGAAAAGCGCAGTAAGAAGACGAAGACTGGCAAATGCACGCATTTCCAGATATATTTGTTACAGCATACACCAAAGACAGGCACATCGGAATATTACTGCGCCGGTACTTTACAGTCTTTAGATTATAACATATGTTAGAAACGCAAGCACACTTAAAACGTTGCCTAACCCTGATCATTCCCCTGACGATAACACCGTATGCGTCCAACACTCTTGATATGACTATGTGCTTACCTCTCAGAGAGGACTACTATTACTCCCACGAACTAACCAGCTATCTGGCACCTTTGTTGAAACCCCTGCCAAGGAAAAACAATATGTTCATGAGGAACTCTTATGAGCTAGATATGTTTGACCATCGAGTCAGATGGTATAACGCTTAGCTTCGACACTAGCTCACACAGCTCATTAGGGTATGGAACATTTGTAAATTCATATTTCTCCTAGTATCGGGATATCGTGTCTGCAAACGGATGTGTCCAATTTAGACAAACAACCTTTCAAGGTTATCTCGACGAAATGCAGGTTCCCACAATGTTGAAAAATGGACTAGTCACTCCTATTTACAAAACTGGTAATCGTGCGGAGTCGTCGAACTACCGTCCAATTACTCTCTTCCTAGTTTTATTCAAAGTAATTGAAGATATAATTCTAGAGGCGCTCATGAGATATCTTGAAAGTAACAACATCCTAATGCAATGCACCACGGCTTCCGCCGAACACGATCCGCAACTACAAACTTGCTGCTGGCCCGAGCTAGCTGGACAGAGTCAGCCGATGCCAGAGTGAGAGTCGACATTGTCTACCTGGAATTCTCGAAAGCGTTCGATCATTTTGACCGCCGCATTCTCCTTCTCAAGTTTGGAAGCTATGGAATCGGTGATCATGTGCTCGGTTAGATCGGCAACCTGCTCACTCAAGGTCAACTGAATGTGAGAGTCCGCAGCTCCATTTCCGACCCAATTGACATCCAGTGTGGCATGCCGTAAGGATCGGTACTTGGGCCACGTTTGTTTCTAACATTCGTTACCGATTTTGCTAGTGTACTGCGGTTGGATTTCTCACTATTTGCAGATGATGTCAAAATTTGGAATTATAGCAGGACAGCGGATGATCACATAGCATTGCAAAGCGATCTCGACAGGGTTTATGCGTGGTCATCCGATAAACGGCTCCAGTCCAACGCGACGAAGTGCAAAGTCGTGAGCAAATGGCATCAGCTTATCTGTGAATATCACTTGCTGACCAGCATTTACAACGTGCTTCCCAAGAAAAGGACCTTGCGAAGATCGTATAGTACGATCTTGGCTGCTCGAGACAGGCTGAAAAGGCATCAGAAAGAACTAGTCAACATCTAGAACTCTTACCGAGGGCTTTCGGCAATTTTGAGCCACCTATCTTTCCGCAAATGCTGAACACCTACGTGAGGCTTCACGTGGAATATGCGATGCAGGCCTGGCGCCGGCGTGACGTCGATGCACTTGAAGCTCCGTAACGTAGAGTGACCAAACTCGTTAGAGGATTGTTTCATCACTCTTCCCAAAACAGACTGCAGTCCCTGAGATTGTACAGTAGTTTAAATCGACATCTTGGTTTACTTACTACTGACGAACCCAACTCACCCATGTCGCAATCTGTCGCAGCTGAACCAAAATACCAACCTGAGAGGCCATCAGCTCAAACTGGCTATGCACTACAGTCGACTTGACTGTCGACGAAACGTTTTCTCGCTCCGTGTGTCCCGTGCCTGGAATGCCCTTCCGACACACGTTATCCTTGCCCCTACATTAACGCTTTTCAGAAAACGCCTTGACGAAACGCCTTCCAACTTGCATTACTTGATTTAGTCAGTTCCACTTGGAGGACGAAATAACGCAAACCTAACCATGTGCTTAACGGCTCTCCGCAAAGTTGCAGTGAGCACACATGCAGAAGTGTCAATGTGAATAGGCTGGATGCATCTAACCTGAATTAACATGCCACATCTGTCACATGAAGCAACACACGAGTGAGCGTTGTCGTTTCCCCTTTTCTTTCTCACGCATTTACTGAACTATAACAGCTCACTATATTATTTTGTTTGTGCACATCCCATTTCCACTTTAAACTATCGCTTTGCGGTAGTGCATTTAAATGGGTAGACGCTTAAAATAAGGATTTACTTATTCAATGATGCTTTCAATTTTAGTTTTTACTTAAACCATCCTACACGACTTGTCAAACGCATGCTTTTTACCCAAGAGAAATCATTGTTCATTGTCCAACATCATGTCATGCACAGTCGTCTATAGTTGTGTTTTATGCAGAGATGCAATAGGAAGACTGATAAAAATCTTCGCTTGAGGCTCGCGCTGTTATTTGCTACCAGTTCACGGGCATTCTTAATTTTTTCGTTGAGGTGCATGACAAGGGACCGTGATGACCGCGAGTTCATGAAAGGGAAAGAAACCGTTGGAGCCCTCTATAAAAATCAGACAATTACAGCACTGTGGTGCATGAAGGCTAGGATATGAGAATAAGGTAGAACGAGCAGCGAATATCTTATTATTAGAGGAATTGGACTGGACTGATGTAGAAAGGAGACAGCTGGAGTTAGTACACCTATGTGGATCATTACGTTGCCTCAAAGCCTCAGCTGTGTTAACTGATTTAAGTAAGGAATTATGCACACAGGATGAGGAATTAAGGCAGGGAAAATGCTTAATCAATCCTAAAACGCGATGTAATGCTAACGTGATCAAGTAAGAGGTATTGTGCGTTACGGAGTGACTGATAGACTAGGTTGGCACAAAGGTTTTCCTTTCAGTCTTCACATGCAGATGATTTAGAATTAACCTGGACGTGTAGAGGAAAAGCCAAGGTTGACATGGGAGAGGTAAAGTGCTCCGGTTGGCTTTTCCTTTCAGATGGCATGAGGGTACGAACTGTCAGGTTGGTATGGCCGAGTAAAATGTCCAACGTGTTACGGAGTGACTAAAAGGTAGGGTGTATGCAGTTTGTGTGTTTCCCTCTTTCCCTCACCTATTGGTGGAGCTGTAAGGTTAACAAATCCAAGAAGATCAATTAGTAGGTCCAAGGCAAGAAAGTACAATGCTTCTGTGAGTTTGCAAATTGTAAATGTACTTGTATTAGCAAAATGCCAGGTTTTCATCGCGGAGTAGTACTTCGATTATGCACGAAGCATGTCAGAATTGATGCACGGTTATTTTAGTACACCTGTAGGTTTGATTTCCAAGTTTACACTTCCGACTAGAATCGAAGGTACCCTAAGACAGAGCAAAACTGCGTCATGTATCGATAAATACAATAACAAGTAATTAGTTTATTTCTACACTTCAAGGCACAAATCATGTGGTTGGTCTGATCAAATCTTAAACATGTGTCGAAAATGGTTGGTTATTTAAGCACATAGACTAGGTTTTCTCCACCTAGAGGTCATTACCCCTAAAGGGGTAAAATGGAATTTCACGAGGCGGATTCGATCAACGCTGTCGGCCGGTAGCCGAGTGATCTGCACGCCAGGCTTGCAATTATAAGGTCACTGGTTCGAATCCGCGTAGGGGCCGGCGTCCTCGCGGTATACACAGTCCACGCAAGACTGGTGGTGGACGCGCGGCACAGAAGTGTCGTTACAGTGTACAGCTGACGATTATTTCTTACTTACTTTTATCTCTCACAAATAAAATCATCCGCATAAAACCTAATGTGTCATCGGTAGGGAAAGATGATACAAGTCTATAATGATGTGTTCAGCGGCATCCAGTGAATACACCATAGTTACAGGAGACATGCATGTTAACTGATTCATATCATCTTCAAGATGGTACTTCATTAGAAATGGGCAGGCCTGTATTCCCACAGATCGTCACTGGGCCTGTTAACTATACTTCGGGATCCGTTGCGTTGGCGATACACTAAAACTGGTTTAAGTAGGCACGAAACCAGTTGCCTAGTTCATAAATTTTTAACGCTTTTCTGTTTCACGCATTTGCATATCTGTGACGGAAGCGACAATTAAAGCCATCAAAACAAGCGCTTTATAAAATAATTTGAAAAGTACGGTGTAACAGTCTTCGGATTAAAGGGGGTGTGTATCCGGTTGACCTTCCTCCTAGGCTTCTATGCGGACATGAAGGCCTTGTGATAGGTATGACTAGTTAACGAGGATAAAACAGTGGGCCCAATGATTGAAAAAGAGGACACGGTTTATCCTCCGTCGTTGAGTTCCATGTAAGCCTCGACGTCGGTGTGGCCGAGTAAGCAAAATATATAACACATTTTTGATGTACAAAGAAAAGAACTCGCTTTAACGGCCCTCTACAGCCGCTAGATTGGCAAGGGGCCTTGAGTTTGGTGTTGCTAGGTAAGGAGAGAATGTGAGAAAGGTTAGAAGAATGGGCTTTAAAATCTGGTTTGTTTTCTTTCTTTTGAC